CCACGGCGCGCTCGGTTCCTTCTCCTCGAGGCGGTTTGTGCAGCGCTGCACCGGGAACTGCACCCGTCTCGCTCGGCTTTCTGCTTTCTCTGTTCCTCCTTCCCGGGCCCGAAACCAGCGACCGGCCTCTCAGCCACCGCACTTAAACCTCACTTAAAATCTCCACACCAGTGTAGGAAGCGCAAATCTCGCTCGGTACGACAAGCTGTGCGTTTCACCCCACTCGCTGCGCCACTGGGACCCCCGGGGTGCAGCCCGGGGCTGTGGGACAGCCGTGCCCCCTGAACTCTCCAGCCTGGGCCGTCTCTCACAATGCAATGCCAGTGACACGCAGCAAACCCCTCCAGGCGCTGCGATCACTCAGCCGTCAGCATGTGGAGCCCCACGCCCAGCTGCATTGCATGAATGCTCCCGGGAGCGGCACCAGCCAAACCCCCCAGCCTTGCACCCCAGAAATATACCGTCCGACACTGCTCCAGACTCCCTTGGACAGTGCAAGCTCGTTAATTAGTTCATCAGAGGAAAGTGGACACGCACCGGCCTTTGTAACCGGAGCTGAGATTCCCCCGAGCACCTCAACCAAAACCCACTGTTCTAGGTAAAACATCAAACAGGTTCATTAACGACAGGAAGATAAGTTTCCACAGCCTAAACAGGATTTGAACCAAGCTGTCTCTGACCCTAAAGAATGGTCCAGGCAGTACGTCGGCTGGATTCCCTTCCCGCCTGGGACCAGTCTCCCCAGTTCAAAGTCGGTGTCCTCCAGCCCAGCTTCCAGGTGTTGAGATGGGGAAGGAGAGAGGCCAAGTGATGATCCCTCCGTCCCTCCTTTATACTTTCTTCCAGCTGCTAGAAAGTTCCTGGCTGGACTCGGGGTGGAGCAGCCCCGTTGGCTCCATGACCTCTCCAAGGAGTCCCCGAAGAGCCGATTCTCCTTGAGGGGCCGTCACCACCCATCCGGCCAGAGACAGCTGCTCTCTTGTCGCTCCTGAAAGTCTGGTTGTGGGGTTCCCAACCTCACAACGTATTTCAGTCAAACACACATGGAGCAAAACTTCCTAACTCCCCATCCAGTGACAGCTCACACCATCCAACAGGGAGTTTGTGTTCAACAGATCAAGGCTTTTAAAACCATCTTCACAAGGCAGGCTTTGTACAACCCCCATCACAGTGATGCATAGGGGGGTTCCCGGGGTGCGGTTTTGAGATAGTGTCAGACCCCCCACAGCCTGATCTCCCAAAAAAAACCCAGCTTGTCCCACAGAACACTGCACCCCATAACCACCCCAGCCTGCCTCCTACTCCCAGCCTGCCCTACATACCACTGCACCCCATAACCACCCCCAGCATGCCCCTCTGCATCCAATAACCCCCCAACGTGACTCCCCAGCCTGCCCCCCACTCCGCCGCCCTCCATACTGACTCTCCACCCTCTCCACAGGGCAGCATTTCTGGGTCTTCACTGATACCCGGGTGGATCCAGGGTCTCCCCGCCCCATCACCGACCTGGGGCTGCCCCAGGGGGTCACAGTGGAGGCGGCCTTCGTCTGGGGGCACAACGGCAAGACCTACCTCTTCGAGAGCTCCCACTACTGGCGCTTCGACGACCGAGCTGGAAACGTGGAGCCTGGGTACCCCAGACCGTTGACCCTCTGGAAGGGGGTGCCCCCTGGGCTGGATGACATCATCAGCTGGAACGATGGTAGGTGGCATTCCCAGTGGTGGGGAGTTCCCCAGGTTAACAGTGCTCCTCCAGCAGCGTTTCAAGTGGCAAGGAGTTCCCCAGGCTAGCAGAGTTTCTCTGAAAGCATTCCCAGTGTGGGCGGGAGTCCCCTAGGCTAACAATGCATCGTCGGCAGTTTTCCCAGTGGCAGGCAGTTCCCCAGGCTAACGCTGCTGCTCAGGCGGGCCTCCTTTGCTAACACCGAGCTGGGCAGCCTGGTGTCAAGCTCCCTCTTGTGGCACAGAGTGGTACTGCGGTGCCACCCGTCTGAAGTGACCCCTGCAGTGAGTGCCCCGTTTCTCATCTCTCTCGCTCTCTCCTCTGCAGGAAGCACCTACTTTTTCAAGGGCACCCAGTACTGGCGGTTTCTGGGGGGCAGTGTGGAGGCCGAGAGTGGGTACCCCAGGTCAGCCCCCCAGGACTGGATGTACTGCCAGGGCTCCCCCACTGCATCGCCGGCCCCAGGGCCCCGGGGAAGAAGCGGGGAGCCTGGAGGTGGCCAGTGTCTCTGCAGTGGGGCTCTGCCGGGCCCCCTGCCGGCGTTCCTGACTTGGACCCTGGCTCTGGCATGGGCCCTGCGGTGACACCTGCCGTGCTGCGCCGATGCACTTTACGCCCCACCGTATCCCACCGCTCGCACCAGAGGGCAGCTGTGTGCACAGAGGCGGTTGTCTGTGTGCAGTATCCCACTTCTGCCACCAGAGGGTGAAGCATGCCCAGGCGAACAGGAGAGTGTGTGTGTGTGTGTGTGTGTGTGTGTGTGGGATGTCTGTCAGAGTTATTGCTTGCTTGCCCCGTTTGCTGGGTGACTGTGCTGGGGGAGAGGGGGGCACCGCAGGTTAATGGGGAGACTGGGCCGGGGGGCAGCGAGGGGAGGGGGATTGAGGGGAGCCCGTGAAATTGTCTGACCCAGAGTTTTCTAATAAAAGCCAATGGAAACAGCTGGCTGGTGTCTGGATGGGGGGGGGTTGGACTGGGGGCACATGGGGAGCCAGGAGGGGGGCAAATGGCAGAGCTGGGCCAGCTGGTGGGTGTGAGTGCAGGGCTCGCTGCACTGCCCACCCCTCCCCCCACACCCACATCTCCCCATCCCCATCCCCCCCCAATCTCCTCCAACCACCCATCCCCTCCATCCCCCCTCCCACACCCTGATCCCTGCCCTCCTTCCCCATTCCCCACCCCTCCAACCACCCATCTTGCCCCACACACACCCCTGCCCCCAGCCAGCCGGAGAACCCATGGATCCAGCTCGAGGTGCTAAAATCTGTCTTGGGCAGGGGGTCTTTTTGTTTTGTTTATTCTGGGGGGGGGCACACTTGCTGGGAGGGGCACTCGGGAAAGGGGGTTCAGGCACATTAAGTGGTGGGGGGATAGGGAGATGGAGGGGAAGGACAGGCCAGTAGGAAGAGGCAGAGAACAGGGCCTGAGGTACCCAGGGGCATGCCAGGATCGGGGAGGGGGGGTCTGAGCCCCCTCCCTGCCCCCCTGCGAGCCAGGATACGGGGCTGGGTGGAGCTGAACCAGGCCCCAAGAACTCACTGGGGTGAGGAGCTGAGACCAGGCGCTCTCGCTGCATGTCCTGGGCTCCCCAGGAACGGCTCATTCCACTGCTTCGAGCCCCACTGAATCTCCGCGCGGGGGGGGGGAGGGGGAGCAGGTCAAGGTGGGGCGCATCTGGGGCCCCCCAGGCCTCGATTGCTGGGGGTCTCGCTCATTTTCTTCACCCACCGCTGCTGGTTTCACTTAGGTCATTAGCCATTAATTGTTCATGCAGTTTGTTACTGGCGGGGGGCACAGGCCAGAGCGAGGGTCTGGCCGACAGGGGATGGATGGATTTCGTCAGGTCCGTTTTCAGGGTGGCCCAGATATTTCTTCCGACAAAACTTCCCTGCCCCGGAGAAGCTGTCTGCCGCGGCGGGTTCGGGCAGCTGTTGTAGGAGGCCCATTTAAAATCTAAAACCCAACAGCGTTAGAGAGACTGCGCTTCTGGAGTCTGTCTAGTTACCTTGAAGAGGGTTAAGGGATGACTTGAGCCCGATCTATCGCTACATGGGGAATATTTAACAACAGGCTGGGAATTATCTGGGGGCCGTTCTCTGGCCTGTGTCATCCCGGGGGTGTCAGACCAGATGATCACAATAGGGTTGTCTGTAAGCGAGGACAGGTCTGTCTCCCAAGATCTGTGAGAGTAAAGGATCATCTTTCAGGATAGGTTGTAGATCTCTGATGATGCGCTGGAGAGGTTTTAGTTTAGACAACCCCCCAACCTAAAGCAAATACTCACCAGCAACCACACATCACTGAACAAAACCACTGACCCAGGAACCTATCCTTGTAACAAACCCCGATGCCAACTCTGTCCACATATCTATTCCAGTGACATCATCATAGGACCTAATCACATCAGCCATACCCGGAGTGGGTGATTTGGTCAAAGTCACTTTACAGGACTGGAAGCAGACCTCTCACATCAATG